GACAGTTTTATTTTTTTAATTTCCCACGAAATTTCATCGAACACACACTGTCAATCAATTTCTACGGGGGAGGTACGAAAAGCAATTTCCCCGACAAGAACACTCAAATAAAGAACAAGGGAGCGAGGGATTAGTTTCGGCGTACACACTTCCGCTGTTTCAATATTATCTTTAATTATCGAGTTTGAATTGCGATTAAACTCCCTGAGCTGGCCCGGTCGGGCGTAAATACATATATATTTATTCGAACTCGAAACGAAATGAAATCAACGGGTCAAAGAGGAAACTCCGATAAAACTCTCTTAATCAGGATTTCACGCCCACTCGCTTATAATCCACATAAAAGTCGGGTTGGGGATGGGGGGGGGGGCGAACTTTTGATCCTTGGACTACAGCGACAATCGCGCCATTGCTCCCAACTGCTCTTTTTACTCGCCACCACGGGAATTTAATTCAGCGTTAAAAACCAAAGAAACAATTCACCAACGAAAAAAAAAAGGCAAGCGCAGTTTTTATCTCGCGAAGCGAACGAACGAACGAAAAAAAATGAGGGGGGGGGGGGTAGTTAAAAAGTGCTTATCGACTAATTGCTCGGTATTTGCGCCAAACGCACTACTCGACGACCACAACAATAGCAACACCGTTGTCTTTGGCAACAAAAGCGCCGGGGCGACAGCAAAGTACCGCGGAGAGTCTCGGGGGTGCGATCGAGGGTCTATATACACACTCCCCGAAGCCGCGAGGAAAAACAAGGGCCGCTTGTCAATTAGATCGCGAACAATGTAAGGGGGCTATACGTACAATAGGCGTATTATACACATACCTGCTCATTGGCTGGTGACAATGAGTAAGTTGATTTGCGCGGTGGAGCTCGATGTGATACTATACCCCCAGCCATATCGCGACTGCGCTTGAATGGGGCTTCGTTTTGTCAATTAGCAGGAGCAGAGAGAGGGGGGGGGGGCGAGGCTACAGGGACTTCGATGAGGCCGGTGTAGCGAACGTCGCCGATTGAAAATTAATTGGCTTCTTTTGACGGTACGCCTTCGCGCGGTGCATTGACACCTATAGTCGCAAACGGGATCACAATTTGGCTCGTTTGAGAGGCCTACCGAGAAACAATGGCGACTTCATGAATCGATGAGACGCCGGGGGTGAGAAAGAGACATTTGCCTTTGTGCGCTACTTTCTCGCTTCGCTCGATGGATACTCGCGAGTGATCGGTAATGGAAAAAAAAAGAAAAGAAAAAAAACGACACCAGAGCGCAGCTGTTGTTTATACGTCACGCTCATAATCGTGGTGGGCACGGCCGATATTATATTTACCCTCGATCGATTCGTTAGCGGTTTTACAGTCGAATAAACATCGAATTGTTGTTATTGACTGGCGATTCGCGGGCCAATGTATACCCCACCTATATGCAGCTCTCGAACGCTGACCTGGCCTACTTCTAGGCAGCCGCGCGAGTGTGGATGATTAAAGGGAAAAATGGCCCGCTTCTGGATTCGCTGGGTCCTTTGAAAGGCAGCCCGCTGAATAAGAGCGGCAATAAACGGGGCGTTAATGAAAATGATTCGAGAACTTTGCCCGGGGGCGACTCGGCGCCAAAACAAAGAGCCGCGAGGGCGTCGTTTTTCTTTTTTGTCCGACCTGACGCGCGTGTGGGGCTTGGCTTGATTTGACGGACGTTATTTTCTTCAACCCGAGGTTTACTGTAAAGAGAATCGCGGTGGATGCGTTATTTATTGGTGCGCGGCAAATTACTCGTAAACTCGATGATTTCACTTTTAATTAGTTGGTACGGCCCGTGGGGAAGTATAACGGCTCATCCGACGACTTGATAACTGGGCCACTGCCACTCCCTCCCTCGTCGCCCCACTGACGTTGAACATTGTTTTCTGAACTACGTTTAACAAAAATGCAAATGACTTGTATTCAATGGATTCCAATTACGGGCAATGGGACATTATTGTACGCAAATTACGGGCGAGGGGTGAGAGCATCTCGTCAAGTGTCCCTTAATGAATGCTGACTTATAAGTAACGCGCATCTTCGCTCAAGTTAGATATGCATCAACTTGAGTGAGATGACAGTGATGCAACAATACGTAAAAACTAGGGCCATATTTATTAATACCCTCTAAAAGCTATTTCTTTCCATAAGTGTGAAAAAATACTTGGCGTGCTGGCGTGCAGTGTACACGTACACGCGTGTAAAACTCACACTCACAGACGCCACGGGGCTAGGTCAGTCGGTTTTTTTTTTTTTACAGCCTCGTCGAAGCCCGTGTTTCCGCTACAAGCTGCACCGGCGTCATATCCATAAAATATGCATACCGCAAACGAGATAGAGAGAGCCAGCCCGTATACGGTACTTACGCGTATACAGTTATGGGCGCCGCTACAACCGCCCGAGGCTTTTTCAGTTGCTCCTGGCTCCCTAACCACGTCCCTCTCGGCGTCTCATACGCGTTTATCCGACGAAAAATTACACGCGCGCGTGTTTAGCATAACAATTGCGCGCCTCCGCAAAAACTACCCGCACATCCTCGACGGTTACCATCTCGCGGCGTCGATTGTTTCGCGAGTCATCGAATTACAATCCTCGCCCAAGTAGAACAAGTCGGGCTTTGGTGCGCCACGAAGGGGCGAAGGCATAAATGCCGTGGTAGTTGCCTTCGTACCAGCGTTTTTCCTACCCCTCGTTTTTAATAAAAGTTCAATCACGCGTACGCGCCGTGGCACGGAAATTTCCCGAGGTGGAAAATTTTATCGTCGCCGGGGGCGCGCCCATATATATATATATACACATGCATACGTACAGGGAATATTCTCCGACCGGCGAAATTCATCTTTTGCAATTAAAATGTTATTGGATCCGTCGCTTCGGCGAGTGTTGTTGATAAAACGCGAGAGCGCACGTGTAATATCGCTCGCCATGTAAAGCAAAAAAGAACGAAAACCCGAGCTCGTCTCTCTCTCTCTCTCTGTGCAATATTCTTGGGATAATCGATAGAAAACCCTCGAGCAGTACGCGCAGGTATAGTTACAGGACACATCTCCCGCTTCAGTATAAACACGTCTTTGCTCGTAATAAACAGGACATTTTACGCCCAACGCAATCCGACACCCCCAACATCATCATCATCATCATCATCACGAGTTGCAACTGCATGCCCAGCAACGTCGCGTTGTACTACCCGTTGACACGCCAGCCTCATTATACCGCGTATATTACACGCGTAGCGGCGTACGTACACGGCACCCACCCGCCAATTGATCTCGCCTCCGTCGCATGATACGTATTCGCCGGGTAGGGTGCTTGTACGTAAGGAAGGATCACGCGTGTGTCGCCGGGGGGTGGGGGCGCGGAAGAAAAGAGAGCATTGTATGTAGCGAGCCTTATCGCGCAACGGCCGATAGTCACACGTCTACACGGCTGCCCCGTACACGAGGGCTGCAGGTGCACGTCTACCGCGCCAAAGTAACATCAAGATATCCCGCGCTCGCGTGGTCGTCCCGAACGTGTTGCTGTATCACGTAATGTACACGTCGTCGAACGGCCTATGCGCTCCTTCTTCTCCAGCTCCTATAGAGAATGCGCCTTGGGAGAGAAAATCATTACCACGGCGTGGCCTCGTTCTGCCCCTTCTCTTTCTTATTTTCTCGCGAGCCGAGCTCTTTATTTCGCCACGACTTTATACATCACTCTGGTGAATGCGGCGCGGGTCGTGCAGCTACGGGGGCTGGCCATTAATCCATCTGGTAACGCGACACGGGAGCTCGCCGAAGAGATCCGTTTGATAACCAAACGACACTCGCTCGTGATTGATGCGGAGAAGCTACCGCGGGGCTGGTTAAAAGGACTACTTTACGAATTCAGGGGATGGGCTCTTGTTGACTGACACCGGTAGTTTTTTTTTTTTTTTTTTTATGAATATTATCTTGCGGCTTGTCGGTGCCACTTTTTTTTCTTTTTTTTTCTATGTTTTGTTGTGATATCGTACAAACGGGCTTACGGTTAACGATATTCGACTTTAGTGGAATGTGTGCGAGGCATTGGAAGCTCATATTGAGTGAACGTCAATCGAGAGTGAAGTTTGCTCTCCTTGTCTCAAGAAAACAGTAAAGATTAATTTAAAATACAATTGCAATAAATGTCATTCGATATTGAACTAAACAAGTATTGATATGTTATGACGTATAGTGGTAAGCACATCTGTATAGTGAGTTATGCTACTACGGACGCTGCACATGAAGATTGAATCACGTTGCTTTTGATGAAGCAACGTACAATATAATGTATTCATCAAGTATGAAAAAAGTAAGAATGATGTCTTTGTTTTGATTTGGTACGGATTTAACTCGCATAGCAGTTCATTGAAAGAAAATACGTATATATTTGAGTGAATGGACAAAAGTCAGTTTCGTCAAACAAAATTAAATAATGAAAATCCAATGCAGGACTCGAGAATTTAATATTACATGTGCCAATTATTCGAAACGGCGCTTTGTAACAATACCGAACAAACGAACGCGTCATTCTATTTCGAGATTTAATTATCTCCTGTAATGAAAAGAGCGCCCGTGAGTTTTCGTGTAAATCAATTTAACGTAATTCCACGTTGTATTCTCGTTGCGCGTTGGTTCCGATAAACAGGGAAAATAATCAAGTCGAGCTGACATTTACATTTTCAGTGTGAGTACGTGAATACAAAGAATAGAGTACACGAGTCCCTACGCCCCGCACGGGAGCGTAGAAAACCTGTTGGGGTGTTTTTTATCTAGAAACAGGAGCGACCAACCTTGTACAGGTACTCGTGGAATAAATGAATAAATTAAGCCTAATCGCGTGACAGCATACGCGTACGGCTTTTGGTATCTATATAAAGTTGAAGCGCGTGTGAAAGCACAACAGTTATGGTGTTAGCTCGATCAATTTAGAAAAAGTAAAGACAAAAGATGTATAGGTATACGTGTCAGAGAGGGGGTGGACTCACCTGTAGATGGGAATGATGTCCTGCCTGTACCAGACGACGAGGATGAAGGAGTCGTTGGCCGAGGGTGTGCTCACGTCGCAGGGTAACTCGGCCGTTCCGTCGAGCACCGCCCTCGCGAGCTGGAGCGGTCCTGCAACAGAAAATACTGATCGGATAGTCGCCACCTGAACCCAACGCTACGCTGAGCTATGTTGCTTGCTACCAAACTACCATCTATCACGTTTAACGTGCAGTCAAAGACACACTTTTCAAATAATTTCCCTCCGTGTGCGTATGTGTGACTTTGATTCATTTTTTTTTGCCACCCCCACCCCCCCTTCTCCCACTTTACCTTTTCTTCTTTATTAAAATACGGCCATGTCGTTCTTTCTCGTGTGCACGACGTGCGGTGTTTGAAATTACGAGAAAAATGCTTTACTGGAGCACAACTTGTATGCAATATTTCTTTTTTTTCCTTCAAATGATCAGCATGAATTTTCGGCGTGAAATTTTTCTCGTAATTTTTACCACAAATCGGTGATGTTGATATACCTTAGTTTAAAATGAAAAAAAAAAGGAAATGCACAAAAGTGCGCTCCATTGCAAAGTTTTTCGAAAGGAAATTACTTTTTCGACTATCCCGGGGAATACAAATAAGACAAGAATGTCGGTAGATCGTATTATTGTTCCATCTCCTTCTGGTTCCTTTTCGCAAAACTTTGACAATAAACATCAACTCCCGGGGTAGATATCTCAGGCATTACCCAGAATTTTGAATCCCGCCCCGAGGAGTGTATACGTATATAGTAATTTCCACGGAGATATTTAATTTCACGTCTTTGGAATTTCAGGGCAGCAGAAAAAGAAGCCCCCCCCCCCCTGCATAGTACGAAACATCTCAAATACGGCAGAGGAGAAGAATTTTCCAGAGCCGGATGAAAGACGCCCCCCTCTTTAGCTCCTTTTCGCGGAGTCAGAGGAAATCGGCCAATGACTTTCCGTCCCCGCGCACACCCTTGTACACATACCTATAGATCTCTATTAATTCTCGTCCTGAAAAGAGAGCTGCAACTCGCGCGCCAAGAGCTTCCAAAGGAAACGCGCCGCACAGAGAGAGAGAGAGAGAGAGGGTCCGTACGCGAGAATGAGTAAAGACTTGCAGGCAGCAAAGAGAGAAGCGGGCGACCGGGCAAGCACAGACGGACGAGGGAAGCGGCGGAAACGGAACCGGACGCGAATATGTCGGCCTCCAGCAGCGCGTCCTCTCCCTCTCTCGGCACGAGAGCTAGTCCCTGCACGAAAATTGGTAGGGTCTGAAATTTACGAACAGATTCCCGAGGTACCTTTCCACAACCCCGACCGGTCAACCGCGCTCTTCCTTCCTTCTTTTGCTCCTTCCCTTCCTTTTCCTGCTCTCTCTCTTCTGCTCGTAATTCCTACACCTTGTGCTTTTTTTTCTCCTCCTTCTTCTTTTTCATCGTCTGGTCTACCGGCGCACGACCGCACACGCCCTCCCGCGATCGTCTAATTCTTATCGGATCTGGCAACCACGGGGATTCGCGTCGACCACTTGCGCCGAGAGCCGAACCATAAGTAATAAAGCCCCCCTCTATTACTCGTTGAAACGTGACGATAATTTTAAAGCAAGTCCCTGGTCTTTCAATGCTTGCTTCTTTTGTTTTTGTGGATTTCAGTTAAACAGAGGGAAAAAAGAAACGAGGTGAGCCCAAGCGCGGCAATAAAAGTAAAAGAGGGATCACGGTGCATGAGGTCAAACGGCCCGGAAAGCATTAACGGCATTATCGGCTCGCCTGCAATGGCCCGGCACGTGTTTACGGCAGTTCGATTCAACACAGGTGTGTGTCACTATATATATATGTACGTTGTGTGCGCGCAAGCAAAGAGCCCGAGCGAAAAGCTCTCTTTCAAAGACTTTGCTGCGTCGTAGCCGCTGCCACTTTCGTGTTTATCCCCGGCGTAAACACTTTTCGCGTCTGCACTCATACACGTATCATCCCCCCCTCGCTCTTTTCGGGCAGCGCCCCGGTAAATATAAGAAGCCACTTTCAGCCCCTGGAACTTTGGCTTCGTGGGTACAGGTCGGGGCTTTCCCTTTTTCCTCCCTACGGGTCATGGCAGGGCAAAAGACTCCGGAGCTGCACGTGTTTTCAATAACTTTCCCGCAGCTCTCGAGCCTTTCTTCCATTTCCTCCTCTGATCTTCCGAGCGCCACGCGAGAGCTGTGGCTGCACTCGTGGAAATTCCTTTGCGGAAAATTCAAGTGGTTCCCTTTGTACATCGGCTACTGCTTTTGATTGGCCCGTTGGAGAACTAATTTTCGTTCCTTTTTCTATCCCCCCCCCCCCCCCCGAGTTTGCTCCACGCATTTCGTATCAGTTTACTCTTTGCGGTATAATTTACTCTACGTTCAATCGTATTTTCAATCGCGCGAATGAATCGGAGGGGCAAAAAACCCTATTAAAAAGTCACAATGAGTCAAGCGCACGGGAGCGCGAACAAACTCAACTGCGCGTAATCCGATGAGCGATGAAGAAAAAAAAACAAAACCCACTTGGCACTAATTATTTCGGAAAAGTAATTACCCGCAAAGGAGTAATGAAGTATATCGAGCGTGGAAATAAACTCGAGATAATCGCTTTGGAAAAAGAAAAAAAAGGGGGGGAGCGAGGGAAGAGGAGAAAAAAAAAGCGTTAACAGATGCCCCTTTAATCTAATAACTTCGCAGACCCTCTTGAGCGCCCTCGATCTAATTATCCCCGCGTAAAAAGATCCCCTTCAGCACTCATTTTTAATTTAAACTTTGAGCAAACAAAAAGCTAAAAAGTAACAATAACAGTGATGATAAAAGGGAAAAAAAGAAGAAAAGACTAAAAACGTAGTAAAAATGTAAAGAAAAGGAACGAAATGACAAGAGCTGGGTAACAAGCGAGCCGCACACCGTCTCCCAGGCGCATGAACAATTTTTTTTTTTCCTCCCCGTCTCCACTGTTGCTGCATTCTCCGTGTTTTACTTATTTCAAGGATAACTTTGAGAGAACGCCAGACCGTGTAACCTCTCTTTTTTTTTTTCTTTTTTTTTTATTACATTGTATTATATACATGGTGTACATACACCCAGGAGGGGGAGCGTCGACGAGTACGCTTGGGTGGAATGACATTGTTGCCTCCCCCTTCACCTTTCGCCCTCTTGCTCTTTTCCTCGCGGGCGCCCTCGTCCCTCCCGAGCAATAGTGCCATTGCCGTCGAGTTTTACTGCGGTGTTCTGATCTCGACCGGAAATTGTGCCGAGGACGCTCGGAGTCTCCCGTATCAAGGCGACGATGCCAGCGTTATACCTGCCTTCCCTTGGCTAAGACAGGTGGGGGTGGGGGACAAATCTCCCGGCTCCCATTGTTTTTATACCATCTCCTTCGCTCCCCTGCTCCCCCGCGTTCCATTATCGTAGGCGTCTAACGTGTATTTATTTGTCGCCGTCGTGGCTAAGGGGACAGCCTCGATGCTCACACCGTGTGGAGCGTGTCGCGCAATTTTCGCGCGAGCGGGTGTAAAAGTGCAGAGATGCGGTATAATACACGGTGCGCATCGCGTAAATAATTAATTTCTCCGATGAGATGTACGTTACGGGGGAACGGTGGGTACCTACAGGCTTTCGGGGTGAAAAATTTAAAGCATGCAGCGCTGGTTTTCACGTGAAATCTCACGGTTCGATTTGATGCAATTTTTGACGTTTGCTGGTTATATTGTGTATTGTAGGGGATTCGGTTGCTGACGTTCATCGAATCAGATGAGCGCGCGCGAACAAACTTTTCTCGAACTTTTTAATAATTCCGAGAACTAAGTGCTGCGCCAGCCATGTGCTTGGAAATTCGCGCCTCTTTTTTGCTCATAGAGGATTCATGTGGATGCAAATGGTAGCCATGATATCGTGAAATTTGTTTTATCGAGGGAGAATTAGCGAGTCCATTTTCGTGATGTTTGTGTTCATGTGTTTCTCTGTACAGAAGAGGATCATAATTTATAGTGAAGCCAATTCATTTGTTATTTGATTCCGTTTCACTTGTAGAGTTATTATTGTGTTTTTATGTTGCAGGTACATTTTATAACGGGAAATTCAATAAATACTCAAAGCATGTTTAACATAATTGTAAAATTATTCCTGTAATAATTTACAAAATACCCAGCTTCTCGCTACCCAGCATTTCGAAAAATTTGCTTGTGAAATGTAACAAAATAATATTAATAACCACGAAAGCTCAATTTAAGAGCACCAGAAATCAAAATTAGAATAAGACGTAAGTGATACACAATTATCGTATATTCTTTATGTCTTTCCCAACAGTGATATTACTACTTGAAAAGTTCAGAGAACGTTAAATTTTGATTGAAGCAAGGTAATTTTATGATTAGTAAGCGAATACAGAATGTATATCAAGAAAAACACGTATTTTCTGTTCCACCTATGTATGACCAAAAAGGGATGTTTCTACTTAAAAAGTTTAGAGCATGGCAGATATTAATAATGGCAACAGTATGATGGAATGAAATCAGTAATTGGGATGAAAATAAAGGTCAAGTGGGATACTTGTTTGTCCAAAAAAACGGCCTAAAAAATAATATCGATGATGACGATTATACTACGCAACAGCAATTAAGATTAAAATAAAAGTTAAGTTAGATAGGTTTATCGTCAGTTTTATCCATGTCTGACGTAACGTAGAAATTACTACTTAAAAATGATGATTCCATTACGAACAATCAGCATTCAAGATAAGAACAAGTGAAATACGTGTTTTATCTTTTCCATTTATGTCTGACCCAACAGTATGACTATCTAAAAATACCAAAACCCAATAATAGTACTAAATAATGTTCACTTAAACATACTCTGACGGATGATAATTCTGATATGGCTCCAGTAAAATACAAATTTGATCTGTTTCACCTATGCATGACAGAAAAGCTGTATTTCTCATTGAACAGCTTGAATTAATACAGAATTCATTGACACAATTCAACAGAACCCGCAGTAAAAATACCAACAAGGTTCGAGCGAATAATCATATTAGTGATGACAACACAATTTAATAGAATCAGAGATTAAGATAACGGTCAAGTGAAATATGCGTATCT